AAAGTAAGTGCTAAGTGTACGGTCAAGTAAATGCTAACTGTACGGACAAGTAATGCTAACTGTACGTACAAGTAAATGCTAACTGTACGGACAAGTGAATGCTAAGTGTTCAGTCTAGAAACTGCTGACTACAGGGACAAGTAAATGCTAACTGTACGGTCAAGTAAATGGTAAGTGTACGGATAAGTAAGTGCTAAGTGTATGGATAAGTAAATGCTAAGTGTACGGAGAAGTAGATGCTAACTGTACGGACAAGTAAATGCTAAGTGTATGGAGAAGTAGATGGTAACTGTACAGACAAGTAAATGCTAGGTGTACGGACAAGTAAATGCTAAGTGTAGAATGTAAATTCTAAGTGCATGATCAAGTAACTGCTTTCTGTACGGACATGTAAATGCTAACTCTACGGACAAAAAATGCTAACTGTACGGTCAAGTAAATGGTAAGTGTACGGAGAAGTAAGTGCTAAGTGTATGGATAAGTAAATGCTAAGTGTATGGAGAAATAGATGCTTACTGTACGGACGAGAAAATGCTAAGTGTACGGAGAAGTAAATTCTAAGTGTACGATCAAGTAAATCCTAACTGCACGGACAAGTAATTGCTAACTGGACGGACAAGTAAATGCTAAGTGTATGGACAAGTAAATGCTCAGTGTTCAGTCAAGTAAATGATAACTGTATGGACAAGTAAATGCTAACTGTACGGACAAGTAAATGCTAACTGTACGGACATGTAATTGCTAAGTGTTCGGTAAAGTAAATGCTAACTGTACAGACAAGTAAATGCTAACTGTACGGACAAGTAAATGCTAACTCTACGGTCAAGTAAATGCTAAGTGTACAGATAAGTAGATGCTGACTGTATGGACAAGTAAATGCTAAGTGTACAGACAAGTAAATGCTGAGTGTACGGACAATTAGATGCTAAGTGCACGGACAAGTAAATGCTAAGTGTACGGACAAGTAGATGCTAACTGTATGGACAAGTAAATGCTAAGTGTACAGACAAGTAAATGCTATGTGTACGGACAAGTAAATGCTAAGTGTACGGTGAAGTAAATGCTGAGTGTACGGACAATTAGATGCTAAGTGCACGGACAAGTAAATGCTTAGTGTACGGACAAGTAGATGCTAACTGTATGGACAAGTAAATGCTAAGTGTACAGACAAGTAAATGCTATGTGTACGGACAAGTAAATGCTAAGTGTATGGATAAGTAAATGCTAAGTGTACGGACAAGTAAATGCTAACTGTACGGGAAAGTAAGTGCTACCTGCACGGACAAGTAAATGCTAAGTGTATGGACAAGTAAATGCTAACTGTACAGACAAGTAAATGCTAAGTGTACGGTCAAGTAAATGCTAAGTGTACGGACAAGTAGATGCTAACTGCAAGGACAAGTAAATGGTAACTGTTCGGAAAAGTAAATGCTAAGTGTACGGTCAAGTAAATGCTAACTGTACGGACAAGTAATGCTAACTGTACGTACAAGTAAATGCTAACTGTACGGACAAGTGAGTGCTAAGTGTTCAGTCAAGTAAATGCTAACTGGAAGGATAAGTAAATGCTTTCTGTACGGACATGTAAATGCTAACTCTACGGACAAGTAAATGCTAACTGTACGGTCAAGTAAATACTAACTGTACGGACAAGTAAATGCTAACAGTACAGACAAGTAAATGCTAACTGTACGGTCAAGTAAATGCTTAGTGTATGGAGAAGTAGATGCTAACTGTACAGACAAGTAAATGCTAACTGTACGTCAAGTAAATGCTAAGTGTACAGTCAACTAAATGCTAGCTGTATGGTCAAGTAAATGCTAAGTGTATGGAGAAGTAAATACTAACTGTACGGTCAAGTAAATGCTAAGTGTATGGAGAAGTAAATGCTTAAGTGTATGGACAAGTAAATGCTAACTGCACGGACAAGTAAATGCTAAGTGTATGGAGAAGTAAATGCTAAGTGTATGGAGAAGTAAATGCTAACTGTGTATGGTCAAGTAAATGCTAACTGCACGGTCAAGTAAATGCTAAGTGTATGGACAAGTAGATGCTAAGTGTACAGACTAAGTAAATGGTAATTGTACGGAGAAGTAAATTCTAAGTGTACGATCAAGTAAATCCTAACTGCACGGACAAGTAAATGCTAACTGTACGGACAAGTAAATGCTAACTGTACGGACAAGTAAATGCTAAGTGTATGATCAAGTAAATGCTAATTGTACGGACAAGTAAATGCTAACTGTATACGGACAAGTAAATGCTAACTGTACGGTCAAGTAAATGCTAAGTGTACGGATAAGTAAGTGCTAAGTGTATGGATAAGTAAATGCTAAGTGTACGGACAAGTAAATGCTAACTGTACGGACAAGTAAATGCTACGTGTGTACTAAGTAGTACGGAAAGCTAGCTGGACAAGTAAATGCTAAGTGTACGGACAAGTAGATGCTAACTGTACGGACAAGTAAATGCTAAGTGTACGGACAAGTAAATGCTAACTGTACGGACAAGTAAATGCTAACTGTACGGACAAGTAATGCTAAGTGTACGGACAAGTAGATGCTAACTGTACGGACAAGTAAATGCTAAGTGTACGGACAAGTAAATGCTAACTGTACGGACAAGTAAATGCTAACTGTACGGACAAGTAATGCTAACTGTACGGACAAGTAAATGCTAACTGTACGGACAAGTAAATGCTAAGTGTACGGACAAGTAAATGCTAACTGTACGGACAAGTAAATGCTAACTGTACGGACAAGTAAATGCTAACTGTACGGACAAGTAGATGCTAACTGTACGGACAAGTAAATGCTAACTGTACGGACAAGTAGATGCTAACTGTACGGACAAGTAAATGCTAACTGTACGGACAAGTAAATGCTAAGTGTACGGATCAAGTAAATGCTAACTGCACGGACAAGTAAATGCTAACTGTACGGACAAGTAAATGCTAACTGTATGGACAAGTAAATGCTAACTGTACGGACAAGTAAATAAATGCTAAGTGCACGGACAAGTAAATGCTAAGTGTACGGACAAGTAAATGCTAAGTGTACGGACAAGTAGATGCTAACTGTACGGACAAGTAAATGCTAAGTGTACGGACAAGTAAATGCTAAGTGTACGGACAAGTAAATGCTAACTGTACGGACAAGTAGATGCTAACTGTGTATGGACAAGTAAATGCTAAGTGTATGGACAAGTAGATGCTAACTGTACGGACAAGTAAATGCTAAGTGTACGGAGAAGTAAATTCTAAGTGTACGATCAAGTAAATGCTAACTGCACGGACAAGTAAATGCTAACTGTACGGACAAGTAAATGCTAACTGTACGGACAAGTAAATGCTAACTGTATGGACAAGTAAATGCTAAGTGTACGAACAGGTAAATGCTAACTGTACGGACAAATAATATGCTAACTGTACGGACAAGTAAATGCTAAGTGTACGGACAAGTAAATGCTAATTGTACGGACAAGTAAATGCTAACTCTACGGACAAGTAAATGCTAAGTGTATGATGAAGTAAATGCTAATTGTACGGACAAGTAAATGCTAACTGTACGGACAAGTAAATGCTAACTGTACGGGCAAGTAAATGCTAAGTGTACGGACAAGTAAATGCTAAGTGTACTGTACGGACAAGTAAATGCTAAGTCTACGGACAAGTAAATGCTAAGTGTATGGATAAGTAAATGCTAAGTGTATGGACAAGTAGATGCCTAACTGTATGGACAAGTAAATGCTAAGTGTACAGACAAGTAAATGCTAATTGTACGGTCAAGTAAATGCTAAGTGTATGGATAAGTAAATGCTAAGTGCACGGACAAGTTGATGCTAAGTGCACGGACAAGTAAATGCTAACTGCACGGACAAGTAAATGCTAACTGGACGGACAAGTAAATGCTAAGTGCACGGAGAAGTAAATGCTAAGTGTACAGACAAGTAAATGCTAACTGCACGGACAAGTAAATGCTAACTGCACGGACAAGTAAATGCTAACTGTACGGACAAGTAAATGCTAAGTGTACGATCAAGTAAATGCTAACTGCACGGACAAGTTGATGCTAACTGTACGGTCAAGTAAATGCTAACTGCACGGACAAGTAAATGCTAAGTGTACAGACAAGTAAATGCTAAGTGTACAGTGAAGTAAATGCTAAGTGTACAGACAAGTAGATCCTTACATGTTCGGATAAGTAAGTGCTAAGTGTATGATCAAGTAAATGCTAACTGTGTGGGCAAGTAAATGCTAACTGTACGGACAAGTAAATGCTAACTGTAGGGACAAGTAAATGCTAAGTGTACGGACAAGTAAATGCTAAGTGTACGGACAAGTAGATGCTAACTGTACGGACAAGTAAATGGTAACTGTACGGACAAGTGAGTGCTAAGTGCACTTCAGGTAAATGCTAACTGCAAGGATAAGTAAATGCAATAAATCGGCCATCGTTCTTATGTGTTTATTTGTTTGTTTCTCGTTTATCGCACACTCAGCATTATTCCAGCTGTATAACGGCGATCTATAAGTAATCGAGTCTGGAACAGACTCTCCACGAGCATTGACCTACGCTTCTGGGATACGATGACACGTGTGAACCAGGCCAGCGAGAAATAGGGGCGATAGAGTGGCGCTGTGGTCAACGCACTCACGCTGAAGATCCGGGTTCGAGTTCCCCAATGGGTACAATCTGTGGAACCCATATCTGGTGTCCTTCGTCGTGATATTGCTGGGATATCGCTAAAAGTGACGTCAAACCATATTCACACAATCCTCTTGCTCTCGATACATAAATCCTTTGTTTTCATGTCCAGGCACATGCATATATTACTGGAGTCCCACCTTTGAACAAACCACCTCTTTTGAAATTATCTTATTGAAGGTATTCCATAACTGAACCTACTTTATCGCGTCACAACACTCACCTGCAGAACTGTACAAGAAACCTGAAGTATATAGAACAGTACACACCTGAAGTATATAGAACAGTACACACCTGTAGAAGAATCAGCAGTCACTGGTACAACAGGCAACTCGGCTGAGTGTCTCTCTGATACAATAGATCCTGGTATTCTGGGGTTAAGAGACGACGTGGAGGCTGGTGTCAGGGCTGATGTTCCCGGAACCTGTAGATTTGTTGTTTTCGGAACAACACAATCTGTAATTGTGGACGCTGTTGTCATAGCTGTTGTTCCCGGAACCTGCAGACTTGTTGTTTTCGGAACAACAGAAGCTGTACTTGTGTAGGCTTGTGTCAGGGCTGATGTTCCCGGAACCTGTAGATTTGTTGTTTTCGGAACAACACAATCTGTAATTGTGGGCGCTGTTGTCATAGCTGTTGTTCCCGGAACCTGCAGATTTGTTGTTTTCGGAACAACAGAAGCTGTACTTGTGGAGGCTTGTGTCAGGGCTGATGTTCCCGGAACCTGTAGATTTGTTGTTTTCGGAACAACACAATTTGTAATTGTGGACGCTGTTGTCATAGCTGATGTTCCCGGAACCTGTAGACTTGTAGTTGCAGATAGCGGTCCTTGACTTTGATCAACTTCACCAGCTGAAGGCTGGAGCTGCTCTTGTTGCTGAGGTGCTGATGACATTTCTCCTTGTGGTTGCCGACAACGTCCCACAATGTGTGGTGCTAGTGACGTGGTATCTACGAAGTGAACACAAAGATTGCAATTGGATACCCAAGGACAAGTAAATTCAATATTGTGATTTGTATTGATTTAAATTGGTTTGAATTGATTTGCACTGTATGATGTGAGGCAGGTACTTGAAGTAGGAGTTGATAACTGTGGTGCACCATGTGTCTCAACCTAGTGTATGATTTACACTGTTTTCCATATGTTGCGGGGTTTTAACACTGTTCACCATATGTTTCAGGGTTTGATTTATACGGAGGAAATTGTACCCTGATGGATTTAGCTCAGAATAATAAACTCACACCTTACACACTGAAGCCTTGTGGTTTCCATTACTGAAGAACCCCAAATCCCATGCTACTACAATACAATGACACGTCAGCCTGATTGTGGTGGCCAATAGCTATTGCTGATTGATAAAATATTAGTGGAGATGATGCGACCCTCCAGGTTCCACATGATTTCTAGTTCCGATTATCGATAATTTCAGCTCCTGTCTATGAAAATACGACAAAAAAACCCACAAATGTACTACACATGAATCATTGTTACATAATAAACATCACTGCCACTGCCACATAACAGCAACACTGTAACCAAACAAAAAGGAAGGAAATGAAAGGAAGAAGGCGGCTATCCTAATTCAAAATTGGATTGGGGGATGGGTTGGGGTTTTTTTTATTGCCGTACTCAGCAATGTTCCAGTTATATGGCGGCGGTCTGTAAACAATCGAGTCTGGACCAGATAATCCAGCATGACCATCGACCTGCGCAATTGGGATGTGTCAACCAGGTCAGCGAGCCTCACTATCCGATCCCTTTAGTCGCTGAGGATCAATTCTAACCCGGATCTTCACGTGTCTGATGTAAAAGATGTCAGGTTTTGCGGGTTTGTATCCTGTTGATCAAGGAAACATATGGAAACACAAAGAAGGAAAGGTCACATTACAGAATTGCACCAGTTGCTTTTTAAACGAATTTTATATCCTCGTACTATGGAGCTTTTTATGTTTAAGAAATATTTGTCCTTTTTTTGTTAACCACGGGTACATCTGTGAAACTCCCTACTTACTTATCAAAACAAGTTTATCTTAACCATAAGCCATAATCCGAGGATGCACAATATCTGTGCCGCGCAACACACCTCGTTATAGTGCGAGTAAACACGGCCGTCCGAATAATACGGACTTTGCTGGAAAACATGTAATCCGACTACTTGATTGACTGGTTTTGCGCATGACAATTCTCTATAAGCTGACGTTAGTCATTAGCTGCAACAGTCTCCTCATGTTGAAATATGCAAGTTGATGCCATATACGTAGATCATGAGAAGACGAGTTGTCTGTTCAACACAGCAGGACCAATCACGGTCGAACCAGTATAATATGAAGTAATGATATTTATGGGGCGTTTTAACAGGCTGGGTTTAGGAAAGGCTACCAAACTGTCGATAATATTTTCATAATTAATGCTGTCATAACAAAGTACTTGTCGTTATATCGGGGTAGGCTATATTGCGCCTTCATCGATTTCAAGTCTGCTTTTGATTCTGTCTCACGTACAGGTCTCTATATAAGCTTTGGGTTGGCAATATTAAAGGTCGAATGTACAGGTTAATAAGTAATATGTATACACATGTTAAAGCTTGTGTCTCTCTTGGTAGTGGATATACAGACTTCTTTGATTGTGCATATGGGGTTCGTCAGGGATGCCAGCTCTCGCCGTTTCTGTTCTCATTCTTTATTAACGATATTGTTCAGTTCCTGAGTGAAGACAATCAGTGGTGCATATCCATAGGTGTTGTTCAGCTATTTATGTTGCTTTTTGCAGATGACATTGCTATTATTGATAGGACCGTTAAAGGATTACAAAGGAGACTAGACAAGTTGTGTTTGTATTGTAATAAGTGGCAACTTCTCGTCAATAATAATAAAAGTAAAGTAATTGTTTTCAGGAAAGGGGGGCGTCTAAGATGTTATGAGTGGTTCAGGTTTAATGGTAAATCCCTAGAAGTAGTTAGTACATACAAATATCTCGGTGTCCATTTGGCTAGCTCGGGTTCTTGTATATGACTCAGAAAACTCTTGCTCAACAAGGCCTCAAAGTCTTGCAGTGTCTGAAGTCTAAGATCTCTCAGTTTGATATACTACCGTTTGATGTTTTATTTCATATTTTTGATGTGAAAATCTTACCTGTGCTTACATATGGCAGTGGAATTTTGGGATTCCATCCGGCACCAGATATTGAGGCTTTCCATAATAGATTATGTAAAGGCCTACTACATCTCAGTAGATCAACTCCCAATACTGTAGCTCGTGGAGAGCTTGGGCGATATTCCATCAAGGTTATTCACTATGTCAAGATTATCAAGTTTTGGGTTAGATCACTCTATCAAAAAAATAATGTTATACTACATCATGTTCATCAGTATGAAAAATGCATAGCGAACAAGGGTATTTATTGTTGGGCTTTTCGAGTTAAAACTCTCCTCTTTGAATATGGATTTGGGTCCGTGTGGACCGATCAAAGGGTTAACAGTATACCTTCCTTTATTCAATCTTTTAAGCAGAGGTGTGTTGATATTGATAACCAGCGGTGGTTCGAAAGTTTAAATCAGTACTCTAAATTATCTTAGTATCGGTCAGTTAAAACTGCTGTGGTTTTTGAAAGTGATCTGTCTAGTATATCAGTAAAGATCTATCGCTCTGCACTTTGTTTTCTCAGATGTTCTACTCATTGCTTAATGATTGAAATGGGCGGAAACTGGGGTTAAAGAGAGAGGAACGGCCATGTCCTTTATGTATTGTTTCCAGCTGTAGAAACAGAATAGAAGACAATCACTATTATCAAGATATTATTGGCAATTTCCATCAGAACATAAGTTATATTTACTTTTAACATCAGATAATGTATGTACCATTGAATGTCTAGAAAAGTACGTATTACTTGCAATGAAAAAACGTAAATCGTTTGTGTCACCAACTTAACCATGACTATTATTATACCACCTGTCAACTGTGCGGCGCTCCATCAGCATTTATATATTTGTACAATGCACTGTATAATGGACCTGTGGCCCCTATACTGCAATAAAGTCATTCATTTATGGGGCGTTTTAACTCAAACTATTCCGATTTTACTTGTATCCAACACAAGCCGCGAAGGTGAAAACGAATATAAATAATGTATTACGATTCCTGTGAGTGAAATCTATATTTCAGAATTCTTATGTGAAATTGCTCCAACAAACCCAGACCCAAGAAACATCCTTCTACTTCCTCACAGTTCTACTTCCTCACATTGTTCTAACTTCGTTATCGCAGTCACCATCACATCAAGTACATTGAAATACATTCAGTCCCAGGCCCTCTCGAGGTCAGGCTGACATTTGTCGGTAATCGTGATTTAGTGAGGATAACACACCAGCATACATCCGTCGACATTTTCTACTTGGACGCTTCCTCCTTGTCGTGGGGCGGTGGGGTAGTCTAGTGGGTAAAGCGTTGGCTCGTCACGCCGAAGACCCGGGTTCGAATCCCAAAATGGGTACAAGGTGTCAAGCCCATTTCTGGTGTTCCCCAGCCGTGATGTAGCTGGAATATTGCTAAAAGCGGCGTAAAACCAAACTTAGTCAGTCAGTCAGTCAGTCAGTCCTCCTTGTCGTGTATCTTCGGCAAATGTATGGACGGGCCCACAATCGAGACTAGATACGATGCAGCTGGAATAACTGGTCTTACATTTAACTGTGTTTGCGACGCAGTATTCAGACTCCACACAGTGATGCCTCACTGCGCACACTTTTGTAACAGGGAAACTCCTCCACAGATTGGTTGTGTGGATTTTAATCCTGGTTCCCGGCCTTCACACTCTCCTACCTAGAGTTCAAAGTGGCCTGTTGTGCTCTCACCTCTGTACTGAAATTTGTTGTGCCGCGAGGAGCGCAAGCAGCTTAGACCAGAAAATCCAGTTTAGTCACTCACCATGACAAAGTCAAAGGGCGAGGCGACAACATTGATTGAGCTTTGCAAACGTGCCGGGCCTATTAAGCACATTAATTAGGCAAGGCATACAATAACAGAAGAGTTCTCTCCATTTTAGTTGTCAAGACTATCTCCCTGTACCGCATAAGTTCTCTTTTGAGTCACGGGGGGATGTGAGTGAGTGAGTTATTTTTTAACGTCACATTGGCAATATTGCAGCCATATCGGTACGAGAACATTTGATAATTAAATTAAAGATGAATAAAGTGAGAAATTAAAGAACCTGTTGACGAAGAACAGTAAAACTACTAGTGTATCACAGATATCCATTTAAAACTAGCAATTAAATCTAAATTTGGAACTATAAATGACAATACAATATAAAAACAGGCTGTATATTGCAAACGACTTAAGGTAGATCACCATACTAGGGACCATGGGGACTTACAGTACATTTGCTTCCTGCATGAACTCAAGGGGGATGTAGTTAGGACGGATTCCGTGAAGGTTACACTACCACTCATATGTGCTCCAGAAACGCCCTCGACACCCATTACGTCAGTTCACTGGGGACAAGGTCTGCAATAGCTAAGTCTGAACTCGGTGACATTGTGTTCATTTATCTTACCGCCATGTTAAATGTACAAAATATCGCTACCAACTATATGACATGTAAACAAAATGGCGTCTGTTTCTCAACTGGGTTTATAGAATCAGTGAAACATATTCTGACAAACTTAAAACTGCTATAAAAATGGTTAATTATATTTAAGTTGAGTGTGCAAACGATTTAATGTTTAAAACAGTTTAAATAAAGCAGTGAAAGTCGGTAGAACTAATGTGTACATAGTGAGCTCAAGAACAGCTAATCGAACGTTTTTCTGCACTGCATGTGTCTGACTCATATTATGACGTCATACGATTGTTAGCGATACAGCTTCTCGGCACAGAGTTTGGCGGATACCGTGGCAGCAGCTAATATTTTTTCCATTTCCAGGAAACTTGTTAAAGCGTCATTGACCAATGAAATTAAAGTATATTACATGAAGGTAAGATTGGAAAGTTTATGGACCTTTATGTAAGTGGTTTCATAATAAGGCCGACATATGTTATCATATTAACACACTGATGACATGAAGGATTTATAGTGAACTTTCCTCTCCGGTTGGGTTGGGCATTGGGGGATGGGGGAGTTTGTGTTGGAGGGACAATACCACCCCTGACCCCCGCTTCTTCTGCCGGTCAATTACTTTAAAATGAGTTGTGCGCTCACGAGAAGAAACCTATCTTTCACATCTATCCATTCATAATGTTAGTCCCTCACAGTTGTAAAGTCCACACAGTCGAGCAGAATATGCTTGATGGTGAACACTTGATCGCAAGAGACACACTTAGGAGGTCATCTCCATCAGTTTTGAGCAGAAAGTCACAAGTTAACCGACTGTGGCCAATAAAATGATCTCATCACGTATTGACTGACAACCCAAATAGATTGATGATTTCAGTTCGTGAAATTTATATGTTCCCACCTGCGTGTCCCACCTTTTTGCATGAGGTCCTGAGTATAACGTTTAACAGGAGAATACAACAGAGTAGTTGTTGTGAAGGTGATCTCACAATGTTAGTTTCCTGTCGTCATTACGTCTTGTAGTTACTGCCTCGTGTATCAATAGGAAACGAATTATTCTTAACCCATAAAGATGGTGAAATATAGTGTAAAGTTGCCCTTGTATACTTAGTTTTAAACAAGCATTAATTCGGTACATCTGTTTGCTGTGAAATATTTCTACTGGAAACAAACATGAAATAATTTTCGAGGGTGTTTTTAGCAAAGACATTTTTTTAAGCATTTGTATAATACATGCAGTAAGGTAATATTAAAGTCCCCGCGATGAAAGAGCTCATGAAAGAAACTGTGCCAAATGATTTTACAATGAACTTTAATCATTTTCCTTGCTTTATTGCTTTTTGAACCTTAAAGAAATATCCTCTATTGTGCCGCAGCACACCTCGTTATAGCGCAAACGTCGTCAGAAATGTCGTTGGGAAATATGTTATCCATTGATATCACACACTATGATTAATAAAGAAGAGTTTTCAAGTTCAATTGTACAGGCCTATTTCACTTGTACTAAGCATCGTGTGAGAACGATTATAAATACATGTGAAAATTTGTAAGAACAATTCTATATGCATTGTTCCTTAATTTATTTATTCTGTTGAATCTCGTCATTTGGTAAAAAACGCGACCTTATCAACATCCTGTCAGTTATTCCTGACTTTGTTCCCTGTCCGACTGGTTCTTTAACACAGTCACCTTCTGTGCATTTATATTAAAATACCCTCAGTCTTAAGCCTTCTCGAGATATCCAGACGTTTCAAAGTGATATAATGGTGATTAGAAATAAGCATAAACAACAACACTCACTTATTAGTCTGTATCATTGGGAAATGCGCGTACGAGGCCAGAGTCGAGACAATCTTCAATGCAGCCGGAAAACATGGTGGTGAAACAGTCGGAAGTGGTGACGACCGTTTGCGACACAATATTCAAGTTCCTCACAGCGATGTCTAACAGTGATAGCAGGGTATGCTTCTCCACAGCGTTAGCGTTTAATGGTTGTCCGAATCCTGTCGTTGGTTTACGTCGCTTCACACTCTCCTACCCAGAGTTCCATGCTGTCATGGCTGAACTGGAGTGTGCCCGTCCAAGCAGCTGCACAGAGTAGTAGCCGAGAGTATAGAGTGACGTGTGCAAAATTGTATACACATGCACAAAAGTTAAGCAACAGTCGTTTATGACTGTACTGGAATTAAACGGAGGGGTTAATTGAGTAACAAATTGTTTACGGAAAAATGGTAAGATAAAGTGTTTGAATGGTTTGAACGGGGGCGTTCCTGGTGGTGCTCACTGGTCGTCCCGACAGGTCCCATGGGTGCTAAGTTGGATTGATCGTATTTTCATAATCACGGTTCAAAGTGTCAATGACATTTCGATGCAGATGGTGAATTAGAACTCGGCTTATATGGAGTCAAGCATTGCCATCCATACAGACTGGGCGAGGACGTAGCGGGTGTTATCTAAATGGGGCGTTAAGGATATTTGTCAGATGCTGTCAGATGTGATCGATAACCATCAGCTCTACAAGGTCTTCGAACAGACAATGTTGATAGGGGAACTCTAGGATTCCACGTCTGTCTCGAAATGGTGCTTATCCGTGGATTTTTAATTTACTTAGGGCCGCGTGTATATTTTGCAGTGAGTATTGCCATGAACATGTGATATCAAGAGCAAGGATTAGAGTCAGGCAAATATTGGCACATGACAGTGTTGTTTGAAGGAGGACGATGTGTCTCTTATGCATTTCATTAGTAACATGTAACAAATGTCCTGACATATTTTCAGAGAAGATCGGTATCAAACATCAATAAAGCAGATCATAAGATACATAGATCATGTGAGGTGCGCACTTATTCATAATACACACAATTGTCAATGTGCCTGCTTGTACCGAAATGTCTTCCCTTGTGTGGCCAACTTATGATTGAGTGGGGAAGTGTCTTTATACGAAACGTAAGTTGGACGGTCAGTTCAAGGGGGATTGGTATGGACAGCTGACGTCGCCACCATTGTAGCCACGTATTAAAATAGGTTATGTTCAAAGGTGTTCTGCTCGGCAAGGCGGAAGCCATATGGATATAATGTCGTCCTCGTTATAACGTCACCGGAAGCTTCTCTCAGAACAAATGCTGTAACTGCCTGGTTATAATGCCAATTGTCATTTCCTAGTTGAACACCTTTAGCACAGCTACTGCTATGATTATGTGATCATTCAGTTAGTGTGCAAAGTTATGTATGTTACATGAGCTAATTACCCCTAGTGCTGTTTTACAGATGATTAAAGTCGTGAAGATCCAGGTTAGAATTGGTCTCCAGCAACCTATGGTTGTCTCCACCCGTGAAGATCCAGGTTAGAATTGGTCTCCAGTAACCTATTGTTGTCTCCACCCGTGAAGATCCAGGTTAGAATTGGTCTCCAGCAACCTATGGTTGACTCCACCCGAGAGATCCAGGTTAGAATTGGTCTCCAGCAACCTATGGTTGTCTCCACCCGTGAAGATCCGGGTTAGAATTGGTCTCCAGCAACCTATGGTTGTCTCCACCCGTGAAGATCCGGGTTAGAATTGGTCTCCAGCCACCCTATGGTTGTCTCCACCCGTGAGATCCAGGTTAGAATTGGTCTTCAGTAACCTATGCTTGTTGTAAGAGGCGACTAAGGGGATTGGGTTGTCAGGTTCGCTGACTTGGTTGACACATGTTATCGTATCCAAATTACGTACATGCTCATGATGTTGATCACTGGATTGTCTGCTCCAGAGTCGATTATATACATATCACTGGATTGTTGGAATAGAGTCGATATTGAACAACATCCAACCATCTTACTGTGGCATACCGCAGAACGGCATATTGGACACTGGTGAATGATGTTCCCAGAACCTGACAACTAGTGTTTTCTGGATTACACAACATCCAACCATCTGTTAGTGTTTTCTGGACTACACAAGCTGTACTCGTGGACAAGGCTGATGTTCCAGAACCTATAAACTAGTGTTTTCTGACTACACAAGCTGTACTAAGAAAAACTAGTGTTTTCTGGACTACACAGACACTGGTGTCATGGCTGAAGTTTGCTGTACTCGTGGACACTGGTGTCATGGCTGATGTTCCCAGAACCTGTAAACTAGTGTTTTCTGACCTACACAAGCTGTACTCGTGGACACTGGTGTCATGGCTGATGTTCCCAGAACCTGTAAACTAGTGTTTTCTGGACTACACAAGCTGTACTCGTGGATGTCATGGCTGATGTTCCCAGAACCTGTAAACTAGTGTTTTTCTGGAACTGTACTCGTGGACACTGGTGTCATGGCTGATGTCATGTAAACTGTGTTCCAAGCTGTACTCAGTGGACACTGGTGTCATGGCTGATGTCCCAGAACCTGTAAACTAGTGTTTTCTGGACTACACAAGCTGTACTCGTGGACACTGGTGTCATGGCTGATGTTCCCAGAACCTGTAAACTAGTGTTTTCTGGACTACACAAGCTGTACTCGTGGACACTGGTGTCATGTTTGATGTTCCCAGAACCTGTAAACTAGTGTTTTCTGGACTACACAAGCTGTACTCGTGGACACTGGTGTCATGGCTGATGTTCCCAGAACCTGTAAACTAGTGTTTTCTGGACTACACAAGCTGTACTCGTGGACACTGGTGTCATGGCTGATGTTCCCAGAACCTGTAAACTAGTGTTTTCTGGACTACACAAGCTGTACTCGTGGACACTGGTGTCAGAATGGCTGATGTTCTGGACTACCAGAACCTGTGGAAACTAGTGTTTTCCCAGAACCTGGACTACACACACTGGTGTATGGCTGATGTTCCCAGAACCTGTAAACTAGTGTTTTCTGGACTACACAAGCTGTACTCGTGGACACTGGTGTCATGGCTGATGTTCCCAGAACCTGTAAACTAGTGTTTTCTGGACTACACAAGCTGTACTCGTGGACACTGGTGTCATGGCTGATGTTCCCAGAACCTGTAAACTAGTGTTTTCTGGACTACACAAGCTGTACTCGTTGACAGTGGTGTCATGGCTGATGTTCCCAGAACCTGTAAACTAGTGTTTTCTGGACTACACAAGCTGTACTCGTGGACACTGGTGTCATGGCTGATGTTCCCAGAACCTGTAAACTAGTGTTTTCTGGACTACACAAGCTGTACTCGTTGACGATGGAGTCTGGGATGAATGTTCCTGGGACCTGTACACTTCATGTACTTGTACCTGTAGACTTGGCGTTGTAGCAGTAATTGACTTTGATCAACTTCACCAGTAAAAGGTTGAAACTGCTCTCGTTGCTGAGGCGCTGATGTTATTTCTCCTTGTGATTGCCGAAAACACAATGTGTTGTGCTAGTGACGACTGACTGACTGACTGACTGACAGCTTTCTGTAGTGTAGAACTGTAAGGAACTAAGTGAAGGAGTTTGAAGATATATTTGTCAGCGAGGATGGTATCTTTGTTCAGACAGATGTTATCACACATAGCATTGGCATAGGAGTGGCAAAGCTTATCAAATCACCAGCTTGGAGAGTACCATTAGCTTAGGAAGGAAGTTATAGAGGATGAGGGAGGGAAAATGCTGAAAAAGAATATCATATATAGAACCTATTTGGGTTGTCAATCAATACGTGATGACATCATTTTATTTGCCACAGTCGGTTTATTTGTGACTTTCTGCTCAAAACTGATGGAAATGGCCTCCTAAGTGTGTCTCTTGCGATGGAGTGTTCACCATCAAGCATATTCTGCTCGACTGTGTGGACTTTACAACTGTGAGGGACTAACATTATGAATGGATAGATGTGAAAGATAGGTTTCTTCTCGTGAGCGTACAACTCATTTTGAAGTACTTAAGGGAAACTGAAGGGCATAAGAAGCGGAAGGTCAGGGGTGGTATTGTCCCTCCACCACAAACTCCCGCACCCATTCCCCTAATGCCCAACCCAACCGGAGAGGAAAGTTCACTATAAATCCTTCATGATGTCATCATGTCATCAGTGTGTTAATATGATAACATACGTCGGCCCTTGTATGAAACCACTGACATAATGGTCAAAAAACTTTCTTATCTCACCTTCATGTAAAATACTTCCATTGGTCAATGATGCTTTAACAAGTTTCCTGGAACTGGAAAAATATTAGCTGCTGCCACGGTATCCGCCAAACTCTGCGCCGAAAAGCTGTATTGCTAACAATCGTATGACGTCATAATATGACGCATGCAGTGCACGGAGTTCGAAAACCGTTCGATTGACTGTTTTGAGCTCACTATGTACACATTTATTCTACCGAGTTAGCTTGTCAGAATATGTTTCACTGATTTCATAATTCCAGTCGAGAAACAGACGCCATTTTGTTTACATGTCATGTGGTCAGTAGCGATCTTCAAGATAAAATTAAATTGTGGAATGGTCTTGCCTCTGTTTCTGCTTGAACGCTGGCAAAAGCAGGGGCGGTTGCACCTACTTCTTCATCAAGT